GGGTCTTGCTCTTGGTGCCGATGCCGTTGAGGAACTTGGCCGATGTCAAGTGCGAGATGTCGTGGGTGACTTCGAATTCGCCCAAGGCGCCAACGGCTCGAGCGTGTACCACTCTCTCAGGAATGCGCTCACGGCTGAAGTGTGCAAGGACCTCGATGAGCTGTGTGTCTTGAAGAAGCATGAGCCCCTTGACGGGGGAACCATCGCTGAATCGCTGGGCAGTGGCTGCATCGGCATATGGGCAACCTGTTGCGGTATTATTGAGTACATGTACTGGATTAGATGTTAAGATCAATGTCAAATACCTTCTGCCAGGGTGTACACTGGTGTTTTGGTTTTGATTGACTCCATCTCCATTTCCGAAGGATAAACCGGGTGAGAGAGTATGTGTCGAAAGGTCTGGTGGTATTATGGAGGCAGTGGCTGTTGATGTCGATGTCGATGTCGATGTCGATGTCGATGTCGATGTCGATGTCGATGTCGATGTCGAATTATGATTTCATGTTTCAGCTGTGAGATTGACGAGTCTTTATGATCCATGGCCATGCTGCAACGGCCAACAATATAGCTGGGCGAAGAGTGAAGACCACGCAAATGCGCATGGTGCAACTTTGCAAGGCTGGTTTCCGAGAGTCAAAAGTCGAGTCTCAGTAAGCCATGTACGAGGTATCTCCGGCTGGCCAACAAGAGGTTGAGCCTGCAGCGGGAACAGCTGACGGGGATAGTGCTGTTGGTGTGCAAGAATAAAAGTGGGCCTCCCACCCCACGACGAATCCCCTTTCCGGATTCGCTTCGGCATCTTTCGGGGTCTGGTCCAGGGAGTTGTGTCGCACTTCTACATATCGGAATGGTCTCGGCATCGCGCACTGCCCTTGATTTCTTTCTCGTACTCATTGCTGATGACCTCATTGCAAAATCTCTTGTTGAACTTTTGGTCTTGATATTTTTTCCATCGGTCAGTTGCACATGACAAGTTCTCGGTATCGCTCGAAACCTCAACTTCGGTTGTCTGATAGTGGAATGAGTACAGTCGCGGTTGGGTTCTTACTCAGCCTTTTGTTTTGAGATAAACTGCGGTACTACTCATAGTCTGATGCTTTGTGCATTGACGTCACCGACCTATCCGAGACTTCGCTTGCACTTCCGAGTCAGCACCTACAGGAAGCCCGTCCCGAGTGGCTCCCGAATTCCGTTGTCTTTTCTGGTTCCGTGCAACAATTTCCAGACTGTCAGTCAATTGGTGCATTCAGTTCAGTTTACCTGTTTCAATGTATTGCATTGCACACTGCATAGCTGATGGACATCTCTTCTCAATGCCCCTTAGCTCGATATGGCTCGACCAAGCTCATCGGCCTTTCCGGAGCGACATCAACAACATCCCGAGATCCACTTGGAATCGAACGTGTTCGATCTTGATAACTTTCTATGACTCTGTTGTATAAAGATGAAGACGTGTTTGCATGTTGTGCATCATGACCTTCCACTCCATCAGCATCATCAGCATCATCAACACCATCAGCTTAACAGGCATCATCCCAGACAATATCCACATTATACCTTCCCCAAAACTGACCAACCCCGATCCACCATGTCCAACATTGTAGATCTCCAGACTGAGTTCGACTTCATTGTCGTCGGAGGTGAGTCAAACACCACAGCTTCCCTCAGCATACCTAAACTAACAACCCCAGGTGGCACCGCCGGATGCGCCGTCGCCGGCCGTCTTGCCGAGAACCCCAAGGTCAAGATCCTCATCATCGAAGCCGGCATCACCAACCCGGGCGATGTCGACGCCATCACGACCCCGGCCCGCGCCTTCGAGCTGCGCGACAGCAAGTACGACTGGGCCTACAAGACCACCATGATCGACCGTCCCGACTACACGCGCGTCGAGAAGCCCAACACGCGCGGCAAGACCCTCGGCGGCAGCAGCTGCCTCAACTACTACACCTGGATCCCCGGCAGCGCCGCCACCTTCGACGACTGGGCCGAGTTCGGCGGCGACGACTGGACCTGGAACAAGCTCCAGCCCTACTTCTACAAGCCCGCCACCTACCACGACGACAAGAAGCTCTTCTCGCCCGAGCTCAAGTACATCGGCAGCAGCAACGGGCCCATCCCCATCTCCCACTCGGACCTCATCCCCGAGGTCGCCGGCTTCCGCGACGCCCTGACCAAGGCCTGGGTCAGCAAGGGCCACCCCTTGACCGACGACGTCCACAGCGGCACCATGGCCGGCCTCTGGAAGTGCCTCAACAGCATCTACGCCGGCAAGCGCTCCTCCTCGTGGATGTACCTCACCAACAAACCCAACGTCGTCGTCCTCGGCAAGACCAACTCGCGCAAGCTGCTCATCGAGCACGGCAAAGCCGTCGGCGTCCAGGTCATCGGCCCCGACGGCGCCGACTATTCCTTCCGCGCCAAGCACGAGGTCGTCGTCTCATCCGGCGTCTTCGAGTCCCCCAAGCTCCTCATGCTCTCCGGCATCGGCCCCAAAGCCGCCCTCGCGCGCCTCGGCATCCCCGCCGTCGTGGACTCGCCCCACGTCGGCCAGAACCTCCTCGACCACCCGATCCTGCCGCACGTCTTCCGCCTCAAGGACGGCTACGGCCTCGACAACCACCTGCTGCGCGCCGGGCTCGAGAAGGACGCGGCCGTGTCCGCCTACCGCTGGAAGAACCAGGGCCCCTACACCTCGGGCCTGCTCGAGCTCGTCGGCCTGCCGCGCATCGACGACCGGCTGGCTACGATCCCAGAGTACGTGGCGGCGAGGGAGGCCAACGGCGGACGCGACCCCTTTGGGCCGGGCGGCCAGCCGCACTTCGAGATTGACTTCGTGCCCATGTTCTCGGACGCCTTCCAGTGGCATATCCCGGCGGCCCCGCGGGGTGACTACATGACGGTCATTGTCGATCTGCTGCGCCCGCTGTCAAAGACGGGGACGGTTGAGCTGAACTCGACGGACCCGCTGGTGCAGCCCAAGATCAACCTCAACTTCTTTGCCGAGGATCTGGATATCGTGGCGATGCGGGAGGGTGTGAGGTGGGTGGACGATGTGCTCATGACGGGCGAGGGCATGAGGGATATCATCGAGGAGGACTATCCGTGGGCGATGCCGCGCCACTCGGATGAGGCGATGAATAAGATGATTTTGGAGCGGTCGCAGACTGGATTTCGTGAGCACTCCTATTCTGTTCTTTGTTGACGCTTTGTGGATGGCAAGCTGACTTGATATGTGTGTGACAGACCCCTGTGGCAGCGCCCGCATGGGCAAGGACATTGGCCAGGGTGTTGTTGACAGCCAGCTGCGCGTCTTTGGCGTCGAACAGCTGCGGGTTGTTGATGCTTCGGTCATTCCTGTCATCCCTGACTGCCGGATTCAGAACTCAGTGTACATGATTGCCGAGAAGGCGGCTGATATGATCAAGGCCGCCTATCCTGATCTGTATGCTTAGATTGGGCCTGATGTGCATGGACGTCTGAGAATGGCGGTGGGGATGTCTGAGTTTGGAAAGATAGACGGGGTTTGGTGTATTGACTTTGATGAATGAATAGGCAGTTCTTTATGGCGGATTGGTAGTTGATAGCAAGCTGAGTATTAGCTCTTTTGTCAGTTGATAAAGTAAAATAGAATCCAGATTGTCAGTTCCAGTGAGTATTGCCCCGATTCGTGGCACACGATTGTCAACATACCTGAACTAGATGTGTGTCGAGAAGTAAATATCGGGGATGACAACTCGTGGCTACGATCCGAGTGTAGCTTGAACAAAGCTGCCATCTCGGAATAACAGGCTTTGGTTCGTTACTCGTGCACTATTCAGCTATCAGCTCCGCAAGGCAACCTCTCCAGGTAGCATCCGTATCTTTCGAGTCTCAGGCAGAAACTGATATCATTGGGTTCCGTCCTCTGTGTTGTCCTTCACAGAAGATGCAAAGTGTTGCAGGAACCCGGCTTTCGGATTCGGGTACCAAGAAAACCCGGTGAAATGCGTAATCAGTCCAAGTTTGTCATGTGGTACAGCCACCACATCTTGCTATCACGTAACTCAACGGTGACATGAACTCGGGAGACAGCATGGCTGGCCACCTGCTGATCGCTCATGTCCGACGGTGTTCCGACTTCTGTCTATAAAGGCAGCCTTAGCAAGACACGTAAGTGAAATAGGCCGATAGACACGACAACAGACTGCCACAACACCATTGTACCTGATCCGCAAGACATTCAAACCTCCAGAATGCCTTCCATTCTTCTCCCTCTCCTGCTGATGCTCCTCCCTGGATGCGTCCAAGCAGGACGCATATTAGCGCGACTGGAGAGAGAGGCGGCACAAAGCAGCAGCTCGACAGAATGGCAACCACTACCCCCCGATGCTGTTAACACGATTCTTTCCGGCGGCGCACTACAACCTGAGGCTGTCAACACGATCCCTTCCGGCCCCCCACAACCCAATGCTATTATCAACACGATCCCCCCGGCAAACCCCCCAACGAGCCACGGGAACCAGGCGTCGTCATGCCTCGTTCCATCTCCGAGGCACCAACAAGAACCACAACGGTCGCCGCCTTCACCACCACCTACACCTCCCCGTCCTGGATCACCATCCCTGTCGCGCAGATGACGTCTGACCCCTTCTGCCACAACGAGGCCGACCCGGACGAAGGCATCGGCAACCACTGCGTCTGCAGCAACGGCGAGACCGTCAGCGTCATCCCGTGGACGACGGGGGGGAACATTTCGGACTACCAGCCGTGTGCGTACACCACGGCGGCTTATATTGCAAAGATCAGTGATACTCCTCCGTGCCATGCGGTGCCGATTACGACCGTGTTTGCGGTCGCGGATGGGACGACGATTCCGATCACTACTAGCATGGTGACGTGTGTGGGCTGATGGTGGGTGGTGGTGTGTTGGGGTGTCGCGGGGCGGAGGATTGGGGGTTTAGAACGGAAGGATGAAGAAGTAAATGTTCTGCGGTGCAAAAAAAGAAGAATTACTCTTCGGGGCAGACCGGGGATTAAACCCGGGACCTCTCGCATGTGTGACCCAAAGCGAGAATCATACCTCTAGACCATCAGCCCGATAATGTTGTTGTTATTGTTGTTGTTGTTGTTGTTGTTGTTGTTGTTGTTGTTGTCGTTGTGTGACTCCCTTTTCCCGTGGTATAGTTGAGGGGAGACGTGGCATCTGTCGACCGATTGTTCTAGTCTCAGGTGCTCAGACTAGTTGTTACGCGGGCGCCTCCCCAACACCCGCCACCCCCTCACCAATCCCCGCCAGTTGGTCTGAGGTAGTCTCAGGTAGTCTCACAGATCAGGCCAGTCTACCCTCCCCAGCTTACAGCTGACAGGTATCACGGCTACGGGCCTCGCACTTAATACCTGCAGTGCCTTTCTACACTTAATTGGCCGAGTGCATTATCCGACAACCTGCGCAGACTAGGCGCAGGCCAGATAAGGTAGGCATACATCGCTTTCAACTGTCTCACCGGTCCCACCATTTTACGCCCGTGTTTGCGTGGTGTAACCTTGACCTCGCCTGGTTGCACCCGGCTTGCAGTACGGTTGGGTTCCTTATAGCTTCCAATGGTTGGTCGGTATTATATTAAGACCGGAAATGTATATGAGCTCGGGCGTTGTATGCCTTACATATCAGAATGCACATATTTTAATAGGATTAAGGCGAAGTGGCGTCTACGCTCGGTCAATATACGGCCGTACCTCAGTCATCCAGTCACTAACGATGTTGGCTGGCGTATTATGACATATTCCTTGAAAGGACCCCGCTCAGCCTGATGTGATGTGTAGGGGGTATCGCCCAAGTGAACTTGATATTTCGCTTTCTCGGTGATTCACTTCTAAATTCAAAAGGGAGCCATACATGATTAGTAACTGTAAGGCTTGCAGTTCGACCTTAGATAGAATAAGGTAGCTATGTTGAGTCTGAATAAAGTCGAGCCGTCTGATCTCAACTCTGAACCCTTCGATATAGAGGAAGTGTTATCGTTTAATGATTTGCACTATAGTGTTACTTTGAGATGTGATGTCACCTCATGGCGTGGTATTGAGGTACTGGGGTACGGGATGAATCGGGCTCGACTTACTGCCTCGATGCCCGCTAAATATAGTTGGCAATAACATGGAAAACAACGAGACGGCATTATGATAGGGGCTGGTCTGTGGGGGCTGGTCTGGTACCTATTGGGCAAAACATTGATCATAGTCATTGCAGTCGGGGCCCAGTGAAGAAGGCATCCAGCTGGTTTGCTGTCGTTGTGGCTATATAAAGCTACGAGGAGCTCCCCAAACTGGGCTATGATTCTGTTCTTTATCCAACAACATCTTCACCACACTCTATTCATGCAGATTTAAACTACCTTTTCAAAAGAAACACGTTCTTCTAACAACACTCAACTCATCGTCATCGCAATGGCTGAACGCTGCGCTCATAAAGATTGTACCAACAGATACTGCGCCGCTCGTAAGTCTTCACTTTCTATCTGGTTTCGTGTCACCACGATTTCGATCCGTACCTCAAACCAATCTAACACCTTCTAGACAAGCCGGATGGGTCTCAGCAGAAGCCTTCTTTCGATAAACTCGATGATGGCGCAGGAGTTCCGACTCTCATCACCGCTGTCCATGGATCGATCTTGAATGAGTAGTGGATTGGGCTTGATGGTTTAAGGGTTGTCCTGTGAGACACTATCCAGCTTGGTAGTATGGGTCCTTACAAGAGAGCAACATGGGTGTACACCCATTACGTTAGCGCTCACTTGGATTTGTTGTCTCTTGATGGAACTTCCTTTGCCTTGAATTCGCTTTCAATGTTGTCGCGAACCATGATCACTACTTACTGTTTCTTCTTTCTGCTGGATGGACGATAGGAAATCTGGAGAAAGACCTCTATTTGCGTTAGCATATTTGCTTGACCTCAGTACCACTCACTTAACTTGAGGAAGTAGCTCGTATCTGTTACGTAACTTGTCATTTTGCTACCTTGTGTATGAAAGTGTCTTATGTCATTCCTCCTTGCAATCAGGATCGCAAATAATTTAATCCTAGATTAGCTGGACCAAACGCTACCTGCCAAGCGCAACCATGACTCCACGTTCTAGCCTGGATCTATTCATCTCAACATAGATTTCCAACGCATTGAGTAGCCTGATGATTGCAGTGCGTGGAAAGAACTAGGAAATGAGGTGATGATGATCAAGGTCGTAGTCTAGAATAGCTGGTCTTCGGGCGGTGCAATTGTGAACCCCCGCAAAGCTCGTGTCTATGCAACAACCATGCTATCGGCAGGGGTAAATGGCACTGTGGTACGCACAGTAATTTAGACACTGTGTCAAGACCCACACTCCGCTGTTGCCTTCCACAGCTTACGTTTGGTCAGGAACTAACTACCTACAACCTACCCAAACGTATTGCTACGACCGAGCATGCTACTTTATGCAAAACGTGCAAAGTTCATGACTGGATTTAATATCACGATTTGACACGTTGAAAATAACGATAGTGACTTAATTCGTATCGAGGCCTCATTTCTTTGCAAGACGCATCACCTTTTGTCGATAAAAAGATGACCCCTCTGTGGTCATGTGGTTGGGCGGGGTGCGAGTTGCCAGCTGTCCAGCGCACGGGAGACTGCTTGCTCTGCAACAGGCATCTTTGCCGGACTCACTTGGGAGACCAGTGGCATAAGTGCCCCAAGCCAGAGGTAAATATGATAGGCGCCTTCAATTGATTCCTTCCGTCGCCGAAATATCCACTGATCATTTGGTCTAGACGAACTGGAAGGAGTACAGCGTTCAGTATGCAGCAGCTGATTCCCAGCGGCTGGACGAGCTGTGTCGACGGATTAACGGCGAGAACCTATGCGCATGCGCGTCACAGCTGCGCGGGGGCGTGCAGTGCGCGGTTGACCTTTCGCCCAAGAAACTCCGGTCTTTGATGGGCGGACAGAACTGCCATGCCGGGGTCGTGTTCACGGACGGCGTGGTGTGGCTCGCACGGCTCCGTTTATCCAACGTCATATCGCCGCTGCCAGAGGTGCGCGACTACGTGCTGCGGAGCGAGGCTGCGACCATGTTGTTTCTAAAGCGCCATACGAGGATCCCCTCTCCCCGCGTGTTTGGCTGGGCGTGCGAGTCTGATCCCGGGAATGCGGTAGGTGTCGGGTACATCCTTATGGAGAAACTCGAGGGCACGCCGCTGGACTGGCAGAATGCAACGACTGCACAGAGAGAGAAGGTGGTGCGGCAGCTTGCAGATATTATGCTCGAGATTGAAAGGCACCCTTTTGATAGATTGGGATCGCTCACGCCGATGACAGCAGTGTCGAGAGCAGAGATGGGAATGGTGGCGGAGGCTGATCCCCATATAGAAGTGCAGAGTCTTGCGCAGCATTCTACGTTTCGCTCGGGTGAGAATGGTAGGCCGCTAGGGCCTTTTCGCTCGTCGAAGGAGGCTATTCATGCGCTTGTGGAGGCATATCTTGGTATGATTGCCAGTGGTGAGATCGGGACAGCTGAGAATGCGGCAGACGTGTTTCTGGCCCACCGGTTTCGGCTCGATGTTTTGGACGAAGTCTGGAAGTCGGCGACAGGAGAGGACGAAAAGTTCTTCCTCAAACACGCGGACGACAAGGGCGACCACATCTTTGTAAACAAAGACTTCGATATTGTCGGCATTATCGACTGGGAGTGGTGCAGCATCGTGTCGAAAGAAGAAGCCTTCGCTTCGCCATGTATGATGTGGCCCGTTGCAGCATTCTATGATGGCTTGAACGAGCTGGCGGACGAAGAGTTTTTTCTCGCGCGCGTGTTTCGTGAGAAGGGTCGAGAGGATCTCGCCCGCTGTGTGCTTGATGGGCGAAAGGTGCAGAGGTTGTTCTTTGCCCTCGGCCCGGGCGGGGCATTACACGGAGACGAGAGCACACTTATTAGTCTTTTCATGGGCCTGAAGCGGGCGTTTGATCCGGGGCATGACAGCAGAGAAGCAAAGGGAGGGAGAGAGAATGAAGAGTGGGAGGCGTGGAGGACAACGGCGCTCATGACGTGGAAGGGCGACGAGTTGTTGCAGGCCGTGTTAAAGAGCGCATCGTGAAGGATGGCATGGACATGGAAGATATCGTCGTTGCCAACTACATGTAAGGAGGCACTCGTTTACAGGATGAACGCATTCAGCATCAACTCTCCGGCCCTAATGAATAATTTTAGATTCTTCATTGAAGTAAAGTGTCCCACGTCACTGCACTTCTCCTTCAATGCTGCTAGAATACCACCGTGGTATTTAGGGTTATTAGGGGCTGGGGTGGCCCCTTTCGTGCCGAGGTCAGAGCGATGGACAGAGATGAACTTTCGCAGACACGGGTAGGCTTCGTATATGCCAGGCAGAGTAATTAAACTATCGCCATCCTAGGTAACCCCGACATTCCAGCTTTGCGGCTGGATTCAATCACAAAAGACCCACTTTGTTCTGGTTACAGGATGGGCGGACAATGCTGTCATTCCGAGGGGCTTTCGGGGCGTTGTCGGACAAATCTACTACCCGAAAGTGGCACAACACATGGCAGTCAGGCTGACTGCATCACCGCTTTATTGTGTTGGCTTCCACCACAGTGCGTAATGCGGGCTCAGTGCGTGAAGGTTGGCAAGAATCCAACACGTAGTCGGAGCTGTGTTTATAAACCCTTACAAGACCAGACATTATTTTCAACGGAGCGTCCCAACCATGCTCACAACACAACCTAAAGACAACAAATTATAATTAGCGATCCACAATATCTCATAATCTTTCGCATCGTCTCAGAACAACAACATCATCAAAAATGGCTCCCTTCCGCCCACGCATAGCCATAGCAGGTGGCGGACCCTCGGGCGTCGCACTCGCTCTCCTCCTCCACCGGCGCGGCATCCCCACCACCGTGTTTGAGCTGCGCAGCAAGCCAACCGCGGTCGAGCTTGCCCGTCCATCGGGCATGCTGGACCTCCACGAGGAGTCCGGACTGCAGACGATGCGGGCGTGTGGACTGCTTGATGCCTTCCAAGCGTCGGTGGGCGACTGCTCCGAAGCGATGC